TTCCCAACGTTGCTGTTTACCTACTTCCATATCCCTCCCTAACAACCCTGACTACCAACTCATATTTGGCCTTTTACGACCTGTGGTGTTCGTGGAAACACTTTTCACCGTCATGGTTGACGCGGATATGAGAAGCTACAACTCCCGAGTGGATGAGTTCAGGGATAGGGAGTTCCCCATGATCAAAGGTTCATTGGTTCATCAACTACAATTATTCTATCTCAACTTATTGACCAACAACACAGACTCCATATATCTCGACCATGCCGGAACAACGCTATATGCCAAGTCTCTGGTTGACAGATTCTCTGCAGAATTGACATCAAACTTGTTGGGCAACCCCCACTCCGCTTCGCCTTCTTCTCAGTATAGCACCTCTCGCATTGAAGATATTCGCCTCAGACTTCTCCGTTTTTTCAACGCTGACCCTGAGGAATTTGACTTGGTCTTCGTTTCCAACACCACAGCTGGGATCAAACTTGTTTCCGACGCCTTCCGAGCCTCACCAGAGGGCTTTTCTTACGTATACCACCAAGCTTGCCACACAAGTATAATAGGGGTTCGCGAAGAGGCGCGTGAGAGCAGATGCGTTGCGGATGACGATGTGAGACGTTGGATTGATGGGAAATCTCCTCTGGATGATTCGGAAGCATCAGACTCGCCCACGCTATTTTCATATTCAGCTCAATCTCATATGGATGGGCGACGTTACCCGTTAACGTGGCCATCTCTACTGCGAGAGTCGCCTGCCGTCTCGCACCGGCAATTTTTTACGCTATTGGACGCAGCCTCACTAGTGGCCACTTCTCCTCTAGGTCTCAGTAACTCGGAGACGGCACCCGATTTTACGGTTTTGAGTCTTTACAAAATCTTTGGCTTTCCAGACCTTGGCGCTTTGATTGTTAGAAGGCAGGCCGAGCCGATTTTCAACCAAAGGCGCTATTTCGGGGGTGGCACCGTCGATATGGTTGTCTGCGGAAAAGAAAGATGGCATGCTCCAAAATCGACGTTCCTTCATGAGAGGCTAGAGGACGGCACTCTTCCATTTCATAACATCATAGGACTTGATGCTGCTCTAGATGTTCACGCAGAGCTCTTCGGAAGCATGAGTAGCGTAGCATCGCACACAGCATTCCTTAGAAACCGACTACACGATGGACTTGCCAGCCTCAAACATGGAAATGGGCTGCCCGTCTGCACTATCTACTCAGAACGACGCAGCGAGGTTAATGGCTCAGTAGGAAGCGGGCCACTCGTCTCGTTCAACATTCGCGACGCTGCCGGAGCCTGGATCAGTCTATACGAGCTTGAAAAATTAGCCACGTTGAAGAACTTACATATTCGAACCGGCGGGGTCTGCAGTCCTGGAGGTATCGCTTCAGCACTCGGCCTGAGCCCATGGGAGATGAGGAAGAATTTCTCCGCTGGGTTTCGCTGCGGCACTGACCAAGATGTCATCGCTGGAAAGCCGACTGGCGTTATTCGAGCAAGTCTTGGTGCGATGAGCACTATTTCCGACGTTGACTTCCTGATCGACTTTATTGATGAATTCTATCGAGAAGAAGTGTCAGTTGATGACTGTCGCGCCGAAAACCAGACTTCATCGATAGGGTTCCAGGTCCAGGGCATCAGCGTCTACCCGATCAAGAGCTGTGGCGCCTTTTCTGTTCCGCTTGGTATGGACTGGGAAGTCATGCCCGAAGGTCTGGCTTGGGATAGAGAGTGGTGTCTTGTCCACCAAGGGTCAGGACAGGCACTAAGCCAGAAGAGGTATCCCAAGATGGCCCTCATCAAACCCACTCTTGACTTCGACGGTGGCGCGCTGCGTGTAGCGTACAGAGGGAGAAAGTTCTCTCACCTACCCGACGAGATCTCAGTTCCTCTATCTGCGGATCCCACTTACTTCGAAACAAACGGCGGCCCTCGTGAGAGGTCCTCAAGAGTATGCGGCGACAAGATTACGACGCAAGTGTATGCCTCCGATCATGTCAACGGCTTCTTCAGTGATATTCTCGGTGTGCCATGCGCATTGGCACGATTTCCAGCGGGAGGACAGGGACCAAGTATGCGTCACTCAAAAGCCAAGGTGCAGAAACATCAGCACCCTCAAGTTTGGGTGCCAAAGGGGAGTTTCGGGGCATCTCCAGAGTTGCCTTCTCCGCCGGATTCGGACTCTGAACAATCACCAGCAAAGATTCTACTTTCCAATGAGAGCCCAATACTCCTGATCAATACATCGAGTTTGCGCGCCCTCAACGACGAAATCCAGGCAACTGGCGGGGAACCAGTTCCCTCCGAAGCATTCCGAGGCAATATCTTGGTCGGGCCAACTCAAGACCCTGACCATCTCCCATGGGCAGAGGATGGATGGACAAAACTCACGATTGGTGGTGAGGATTTCACTATGCTGGGATCCTGCCGCAGATGCCAGATGGTATGCGTCGACCAGGAGAGCGGCGAAAGACACCAGGAACCTTTCGTGACGCTGAGCAAGGTCAGAAGGTTCGACGGCAAAGTGTACTTTGGCACTCATATGAGCCATGATTCCACTAAGGCACTGCTCGGAGAAGGAACGCGCCGTCCAGTGATACGAGTCGGCGACATGGTCAGTGTAGGAGCATGATGTAAGGTACTTCAGAAAGGCTTGGCTGGCATCGGTCAAGATGAATGTCAGTATATGTTCTCAATGAAATACAGACCCCACAGCGGTTGCTCCGTTCAAATAAGCTATAGTTGCCCTCGCACCTTTGCTGTGAAGTTCACTGTTCCAAGGTGATAAGCCTCGGTGGTTGCTCCCATAAGAAAGAAAAGGACCTGTTGTAACCAATTAGATCCACCTGCTGGAATGGAATTCCACTTTCTTGGTTCTATGGAAGTCAGGGCTGGTTTCTCGTACTCAAAACTCGTCAGGTATCAGGTAGTGCCAGCGAAGAAAGCCAGCAATTAATGATTGAAATGAGCATTTAGCTAGGTACTTAACCTACTAATAGTACTTAAGCTTTACTATGTACCGATATGTAAGGTAGGTACAGTGCGCGCTTTCCTTACTAAAAGTGACTTAGGTGAGGCCTTGCCTTAACAGCGCCCGTGCACCTATCCTTTCCCGGAAAATGTCGCGTCCTGCAGCTGCAGCTTCGAGTCTATCACGTCTGCTTCCCGAGAAAGTAGGCTGTCTCGTTCCTTCGATTTTTATTCTTACCGTGAAAACATTTTTCAACCCTTTTTGGTCAATAATCGCTACTTTTTCAGCATCTTGCAGCAGCTGAGGGAAGCGCGCCAGCTTCCTAGCTTCCCCCGGTTGATTTACCACCACTGACGCGCGACAGGTCGGGAGCCCTGGCCCATGAAGGTAGTTTCCACCACCCCCTCCACACATCCCTACAAATACCCACCTCTAGCCCTCCTCTTCCTCTTCGGCCTTCTCCTAACTTCACATCCTCCACCACGACTTCTCGACGCCGTCAAGCCCCAGAGGCAATCAACAATCTCCCCGCACCATGGATGGTTGAGCAAATTTCCCGTGTTGTGCCTCTGAGCCAACAGCTTTCTTTTTTCTACCACCCTTTCACGATATTTGCTATCATTTGCAAGCTCGTTGATCCTGCTCCCTCCGCCCGGAAGACTTTCTGTCCCGACAGGTTAGTCTGCGACGGCATGCTCCAACGATGACGACCAGACTGCTGCCTCTCGTGGCCAGTCGCAACATAAGGTGCTGCGGTAATCTTGAGTCGTTGCTCAAGGTACGCAGTCGCAGCCTTGTTCTGCTTGTTGGGCTTTGCCTAACGGCAACTGTCCCAGCTTCCAGACATGCTGTCGGCCGACAGAGCAAGTGAGCTCATATGAGCTGCACTTTCTCTACCATCACGAATATATCACCGTTACTGTGCTTTGCGCACTGATCAGGGGCCTTGGAGGCGCACGCGGTGTTAGGCTGGAGTTTAGCCTAAGACATCCGTTCGGCTTCGCTGGCCTTTTCTTCGTCACTTTGTCCTGGGCAGGACGTAAAAAGGCCTTGGGGTTGTATCATGGCAACGAATGGACGACATAGAGAGGCAAATACAGCCCGTGTATTGAGGTTACGTTTATGATACTCGTGATGGAGTCACATGTGGTATGTCCCGAAAACCTTGTATAGCTCTAGCAAGACAGCTCCCCGACTAACCCACTTTAGCAACGATCTCTAGACTTGCGACGTTCCCAAGGCTGGGCAACCAAGACGTACGACACCATCTCCTTTCTTCAGCAATTAGACTTCGACATACTCTACCTAATTCTGATGACCCGCCACGATAATGACATGTTTGTCTGAGACTTTGGCATTCTTGGTTCTTTTCTTTTGCCAAACGGTATAGATAGTAAGTACTTTGCACTGTACTTGTCCTGCCTTGATCATACCGCTAACCTGAGCTACAGGACATTGGATCGAAAAAGGACGGAGCCCTGATCATGATTTGTCCTGGGCAGGACTTTAAAAGGCCCCGATTCTCTACGTTGAGGATCGGCACGGATGGGTTTGCAGCTGCAGTTCGGGAATTATGTCTGTCTCCCTCTGCGAATAGGAAAGGTTATCCTGGCAACCCAATTACGCCATTTGGCGCACGAAAATGTCCAGATTACGCTCAGATCCACGGATCACCGGATCATGAGCGTTGGACAGGTGGGCGGCTCCGGCCCCCGCCCCTGAAGATGGCCGATTTGGCCCCGGTCTCCGGACCGGCTTCCAGGCCCGCCGAAGGCAACCTGGTTGAAACGACGATCGAGATCGACAGCAATGTCAGTATTTCTTGTCACAATCGCCCTCTGGGCATATACTGTGTTAAAATTCGCATTATGCGGAACTATCGAGATGTAGCACGTACTCGCGTACTGTGTTTGGTGCTCTTCAGCTGCGAAGCTCAAGAGCCCGACCCACCGTTGCAGCTTGTGGGCGACTGATGGAAAAGATTGAGCAACACAACCGCTGTCGGAATCCTGACAGACGGGGGTACGCAGGCTGTTATATGTTTAAACAGACTGCCTATCCAGTGCCTACAGACGGGGTCCTTTCTGAAGGAGATAAGCGCGATAGTAAGAGCGACATGCCGAGATCGTCACATCAACTCTCACGATTTCTCGCGGCAGAGGCTACTTTGCTCCGGAGCCAGCATCTCGGACTAGGCCGAGGAGGATCTACCCCACGATACACGCCACCACCCATTTGGGTGCCGATACGTGGGGACAACGTTTGTATTGGGGGCCCGAAAGGGCTCATGAGTTTGGGCTGGTCGCGTCTCTCTGATGTGGTCACATCTGTGGTCATGGAGAAAAGCTCGCGTCTCGATCAACAGTTTTGGGGTTCTACGGTGGGACCACGCGACAAGGGGAAGCAACAGGTGGGGTATTCTGGCTTCAAGCCATGGGAATGCAAGCCTGGCACTTGTTCCCGACTTTCGAGGTTGGTTAAAACTTTGACGACATTGGGGGACAGCGGGTGGAGGATTACTGTTTAGAGTGGGATGACTTTTGATTCCCTAGGATATAGTTCTGGCAGTCGTAATTCAGATCCGACATTTGTCCCCAACCACGTTCCCACTTGACTTTCCTTTTTGTGTTTTGCAACATGTTGACGGCAATGAACCACATGCCAGCTTTGATGTGTCGTGGTGTTCCTAGCGTCGACGGATACTGCGGCAATGAACGAACTGAGTTAGGGTTGAAAACTTTTAGTTACTGGAGTACGTGGTCAAAAAATGTAGATCGATTATTTCTTCTGGAAGAAACACACCGCTGATCGAAATGTAAAAACCCATCATATTGACACGTGGAGTAGAAACAAGTTGATCATCTACGAGCTTATTGACGAAGGGCTGTGTACATATTGTATAATCCAGTCTTCATTAGATGGTTGAAACTCACCGCCATGTTCAAGATCTGCCACAATGCACGCGTGGGAGGGTAATGTGTCAGTCACGATTATCATGTAGGGTATTCAGGCCCAATCAGTAGAGATTAGAATTCCATATTCTGTACGGCAAACTGTGACGGGCTAATATGCGCCGTGTAACTTTACAAAAGGGAGTACCTCAAAGGGATTCTCGTCTGTCCCAAAACGCCAAACCCACTCAATCTTACAAACTCCCTTATCGCCATACTCTCGTCACAAAGATCCTATTTCGGGGGGCTAGCAGGGCCACGAGTCCAGCTACAAAGGCGCATTAGTATGGGGTATATAATATAAGCATTGGGATCAACCTACTTATGCCACATTTGCCCGATGAATCCCGGCGCCGGCTTTGAATCTGTCATTGATTGTCTACGGGCTGCGTTGCCGTCGTGGCGCTTTTGGTCCATGAGACCTTGGAAGAGGGTTCCAGAGCTCTGAGGTTTACACGTGTGAGCAGCGTGACATGTGCAGCTGAATTTAAGGGGTTCTTACACGTCTGCGGCCGGTAGGGGAGACGGGGATATCAACGTTCTTGCTTGAGTCCATGATGACGGTTGATGTTGATGTGTGTGTGACTTGGTATCTAATCGAAAATGGGTTGTGGTTGTAGTTGTCAAGGCGTTTGTAGCAGTGTTGCAAACAATGATCGCGAGGATTTGAGGGGAAGAAGAGGAGGTATATAAGCAATCCGGCGTCACAGCTGGGTCGAAGCACCCACCACCTAGCTCGAGCTTCGACTTGCCATAGGGCATACGTTCAAGGTAGGTAGCTCGAACAAGGGCCCATGGTGATCCTGTACCACCCACACCCTGAGAATGACTTCACCAATGAGACCACCGCCCACTCCCCTGACACAAGGGATGCGGGAAAGCTTGTCGATGGGCCGGTCAGAACGATGACGGTGTTTACTCGTCTGTCACCATCACACGCTAAAAAGACTAACGCTACTTGGCTACGTGGGGAGCTACCATGCTAGTGTAAGGGGACTTGGGAACGGGGAACCCGCTCGAGGGAAAGGGTGCATCGTCGAATACCAGTGTAAGTAGTCTGCTGGTGTGCTATGGCTTTGTCAAGCACCGCTTCTGGCTGAGTTGGAGGACTGGTCACGAGGTATTGAAAGTAGGTACACTGACATGGATTGGATGAATGGTAGCTGTTAGTGTTAGACGTCACGGCAGAAGGTCGAGCGCTGGTGCTCTCCTCCCTCCATCATTTCTGCTGTGGTCTGCCGTCTTCTATCCAACGGGAAGTGCGTAATAGTCGATGGACAAGCAAGACATAGACCCCTAACTGCCCCTCGCTCTCGTTACCCCGCGCAGGTACATGGTCTGATCACACTGAGCCTGGCACGATTGATAGCTTGCGATGCGATGCCATGGCTCCCAGCTGGAGACAAGATGCTGGATTAGTCTGACATCAAGAGCCAGTCAGATGTCGTCGATCCTGAGAAAATGGCACGGTCTATCCTCTTTGAGCATTGAGTTTCCCGCTTCCCGAAGCATCTTGGAATTAGCAAGGGAGACCCCATGGTCGGAACGGATGACAATCGAGTGCCAGGCTTCGCTATGAAACCCATAGAAACATCTGAAGGGGGGGCTCGCTTCTTCTCTGCGGTGGGTATTGCTACGCTTGCTACGCTATGCATGACTGCGGCATTCTCCATGCAAGCCCTCGCGAATCATGAGCTCGACACGTGATGTTATGCCCAAACCGGTACGAGATCTACGTCCTGGTGCACATGTCATAGTAGCTCTGACGAAATGATTGCAGTGGATAGGTAAGCAGCCATACAGACAAGAGAGAAATGGGCAGAAAGGGATCATCGCCATTGGACATTCAAGCTGCGCCCAGTCTGGTGTGCTGCTTCTCTGCCACAACGATCATGTAGGTAGGTACGACATTGGGGACGTATGTACGGATCATCGTTCGTTGGCTCACGCTCCCGCCCACTCTCTCCACCGCGGAAGGCAACGATCGGCGGGGGAGGTGAGTAAAAGTGTGGGGAAGCCCGCCAAACGGCAACTCTGCCGGCGCGCCGCCCAGCAGCAGCCATCATGCGTCTAGACCGATGCAGCCTGCCATCCTGCGTCAGGGTCCTGCTGTTCTCATCGGGGCCCTCGTTTCGGAGGCACTCAACAACACGCGCAGCCAGCCGTTCTTGTGATACCTATCACCGTGGGTTGGGCTGGACTTGTGGTAGCTAAGAATGTCCACGCTTTTTGAACAGCTTTGTTCACCACCGACGTTGCAAACCGCATTCGGACAAGGTAGGATCCGGAAGACTCTTCCGCCGTCTCATTCTAGGAGACCAACCTGACCAGACAATCAGCAGACAGATGGATCGAGAAAGTCGTTCGAGTCAAGAACAGGAAGCCTCGATCACCGCGTCTCAATGGATGATGCCAGAGGATCCGCCGCGTCCCGCTGTTCTAGATTTCAGATAGAGCAGAGATTGACCCGATAGACGCGGCGGCGTGGGGTTCGCGTCAGGCATCGTCTGGTCATCTTTTGGCCCCGATTCTTGGGATTTCTTGGAAACGGCTAGGCCGTCAGGACCTTGCAGACTCGAGGCTTGCAGGAACCGGGAGAGCCAGAGGGCTGGAGCAGAAGCAACAGCGACAATGCCGTACCCTTGCCCGGCGTGTCACCCTGCTCCTCTGAAAGCAAACGCCCGCCGCTGGCTGTGCGAGTGAGTGGCTTGACGTCAGGGAGCTCAAAGGTAAAAAACGAAGCTAGATGATGGTCAAAGCTGAAAGATGGCGAATTCGGTTTATCGATCGCAGAGGAGGCTTCGATGGATGATGTAGGTGTGTGGGGAAGGGGAGACGGAGAGATCGGGTACCCACTACCTGGCATTGGCTCCCTTGCAGCCCCTCAATATGCGCTTATCTCAGATAGCCCGGTAGGGTGGCTGGCTATTCGATTATCGAAGAGTATGCATCCATTGCAACGACCAACGACGGTTCATCTCAACTTCTGCCCATCCATCCCTTCGTTCGCAAATCATTGCCATATGCAAACCAACCTGCGTTGATCAGCGAATTACATGGCTTTGGTACTCGATGGAAAAGACACAACTCGAAGGCAATATTGCCCAATTCAACATGCCTCTTCTTCGTGTACTGGACACAACGTCGGTTTGAGCTGATCTGCTAGGCATAATCGTACCGAATAATCAGCTGTTATCGATTCTTGCGCGGCTGGTCGGTACTATCCACTCATAAAGAGTATCACTGTGAGAGACGATAAGTTTTAAGGATCGACAGTTTTTATTGTGTTGTCCTGGGGGACATGTAGAAGAGAAGCTAGGTTGGTAAAAAATGATTAAAGACAAGAGATTAAGCAAGGCGAAAAGGAGCCGCTAGGACTCGCCAGATGCCCGCAACAAAGTTCAAAGTCCCCGGTTGATGTTGAATGATCACCGCTAAATCCCTCGCGTTCCAGTCCTTTCCTCTCAAAGTCTTCGGAAACTTTTTGGTATCATGCAGACCGCATGCTGGAAGTTGTGGGTGGAGTGATTGTGGAAAAAGTGCTTTGCGAGAAGCCCGGTCGACAAGCCGACGGGGCGTTGTCAATTATGCCGAAACTCGTCATGGGTGTGCAGTTCCGTGGCTGCAGAATACCTGCCCGAATGAGTTACCGGCCTGCGACGATTCTCGAATTTAAGCACGGCCACCGAGGAGGCCGCCGCCGAGGCCACCGAGAAGACCACCGAGGAGGGGTCCGAGAAGGCCGGTGATGAGGCTGAGGACGCCGCCAAGGCCGCCGAGGCCGGAGGTAAGACCGCCGAGGTCGGGGAGACCGCCAGCGGGAACGCCTAATTTGAAGAATCAGTAACTGTTCGAAGGTGAATGGCATAGACAGTACTCACCAGGAAGGGAAGGAAGACCGGTGCCAGAGACGAGAGGGGCAATCTGGGCCTGGATGGTGGCAATGATGGCCTGGATCTGCTGGAGCTGGGCCAAGCTGAGGCCGGCGGGGAGGCCGGAGCCAATGGCCGTGGCGTTGGCGACCTGGGCCTGAAGGGCACCGATCAAAGCGGTGAGCTGCTCGGCGCTGACAGCACCGGTGGGGATGGCGGGAACGGAGACACCGGGGATGGTGGGGATGGCAGGAAGGCCGGGAATCGCACCGGCACCGGGAACACCCTGGCCTTTTGGATTTTTCAGTTGAAACGGTTCGATCTACGAGCTCTTAATTCACTTACGGATGTTGCCAACAACGCTGAGGACACTGGCCAAGAGGCCGGTGAGGATGGCAACAACGTTGCTCGGGCTGATGGGGAGGTTAGAGAGACCAGGAAGACCCAGACCCGCCAGGGCGCCCAAGCCGGGAAGGGTGGCAAGGTCGATGCCACCAAGCTGGCGAGCCTCGAGCTCGACATTGCGCTTGGCGATGGCGTTGGTGTTGTCAACGTTGGCAATGGCAACGGGGTTGGCGGCGGCGAAGGCCAGGAGGGTGGTGAGGACGACAGCGGACTTCATTTTGATGGTTGGGGTTTCCGAAGAAAAGGGGGATTGGTTTGAAGAAGAAGTGATAGTGAGTGATCCAAAGACTTGAGAGTTGAGAGAGTTGAAGCGGCTGACTATCCTGTAGTGAAGGCGCGGTGTGATGATGAGAGAAGAGATATTACGATTTGGACGGCGGACGACGAGGCCTTTTATAATGAAATTAGGCTATCGACGAACTGAGGGATCATGGTGAGCTGTCTCTACATTGTCGTCGTCGGCGTTGTCGTCGATGAGCAGTCAGTCTGCCTTCCGTCTTCGTCGGCTTTGCCCTCGACTGGCCCACATCAGTGCCAAGGTCGCAAGAATCCTCAACGTGTGGTTCACGTTGATCCCCTGCTGAGCGTGACAGTTTCGTGAAGTTCCCGGCTACATTTCCCGCAGAGGCCCATCACAGAGGTTTCGCTTCGGAACCTGACACCGAGCCAACCATGAAGAGGGACCCTTGGGCGGGCACGAAAGGCCAGGCTCCTTGGCTCCTAGGGCCAAGGCGGTCTAGGGAGGGCGGGAAGTCTGAGGCCAAGCGCCTTTGACAGCTTCCTCCCGTCAAAGTCGACCAATCGCTGACCGTCGCTCCAGCCTGCGCGCTACTAGATCCGTCCTGTCATGTCTCTGATGGATAACTCAAACGTGAGACATATCCACCGGTGGGAGGATCGTGGCATCTTTCCTCCTTGCTTCCTCATTGGTGCCTTTCATCTGCGAACAGCTTGCGGGAATGAGTCCCACGGGGGTTCACAATTTCCGCCCAGACCCGATCTCCGTCACGGAAAGGCGCGAATCCCCATATCCACCCATATCCTCCGATGAGACACGAAAAGAATATCTCGGCCGAAGGCCTAGTGACGTTTGCGGGGGGGAGTTGTCGTGATCAGAGTCAGCTCATTCTTCGCCCGCCGTTGCTCCCGCCGCCGATCACCGGTAGGAACACATACCACACTACCTCTCGGATGATATGATGTTACGGCGTGGCTCTTCAATATCCGGCAGCGTCGAAGGAAAGTTGCCCCCTCCCGAAACGATCCACAGGAGATGATCAATGGAGCCCGCTTGCCAGGATATCCTCTCAAAAAGATGGCTTTCGAGCCTCTTACTGCAATTGTCTCTCCGCCTGGCCTTTGCTGCAACTTCTGCTTTCGTCGACAGGATACATAGATGGATGCAATCGTAATGCTTGTCGGAGAAATTCTTACGTAGGAGGTTGTGAGGTGAGAAAAACAATAAGTCTATTTTGTCTCAGCCTCCCAAAGCCTCTTAGCCTCAACTTGCCTCCTTTCCCGCTCTCCCTAACGGGAGCTTGCATTCCCGCCCAACCCCGTTTTAGCCGCCTAGACATAAGCGCCTAGAGCCGAAGTAAACTTGAGAACTGACAGCTTGTCTAGGGCAAGATTTTGAAAAGGTCTCACCAACAAGTCTGTCGAATCACGCTCCAGGCTTCCGCCATCTGACATGCTCAAGAATTCATCCTTGGCAAGAGGCGGTCGCGGGCCGACACGACACATTTCTCACTCTGACCAAGTCAAGTTGTGAATAATAACTCCTTCCGCCTCTCACGCCATAGCTCGCCATCTTAGATGCGAGACATTGAGGACCGTCATGGGCCGCAATAGGTAGTCGTGGGGCTGTGTCGGTTGGCTTGACTTGCCTGAGGTATTTCTCCAGCATATGTCGAATTCGCTCTTTGGAGGAGGGCTCCGCCTATGTTGGCACCAAGCCATAAACAGCCCGGATAATAAAATGAGGGACATGAAGTACGGGTCGGACATCTAGGAGGCTGAATCAACCATCCGTATCGGTCTATTGCAAGCCACGTCAGAATTCTGCCAAGATTTTGAGACGAATGGCTGTTCCTCACTTTTCTTTCACTCCAAATTCAACATTCAACACCTCTTTGCGTGAAGAAGGGATATTCTGAGAGGAATGAAGGCTGAACACGCACGTCATCTTAGCACGTCACTGACAAAGGGAGTTTACCACAATCTGAGGACATTCAAAAAGAAGAGACATCTTGCTAATACGTAGGTGGAGGTGGTAATCTCAACCTAACTTACCGCCAGGAAACATGTCTGGCTTGACAGCTGTAACGTCACCCCGGTTGCTGTCACACGGCTGTCAACTTGGAGACAACTAAAAGGAGGTCACCAAGCGGATGTTGCATATCCATATTCATCTATCCCTGCCGCAATAACCGACAAATAATGTCTTTCGCCCTCCTTCACAGTGACCATTATCCAAATTAAGCAAAGGCTACTACTCTAGACAGATGGCACTTTGGCGGCCGCCCGCTCGTGAAGCACGCAGTATGATAGTGAATGTAGCAAGCAAAGACTCAGCTTCTTCCCTCCAAGGTAGCGAGTGTCTCCTGCCGAGCCTCCCATACCGATATTTTCTCCTCTTCATGCAGCAAGCTGCCGGGTCTCCTTTCAGACCGCCGATCCTCGTTGCCGGCATCCGGGCTGGAAGGGCCCAGAGACATTCCGACGACCTGGCCTGGGGAGCCTTTGACGGGGTTCGTGGGAGAGCGATTGCGAGCGGGGACTGTAGCAAATACAAGCTTCTTCCGACTGCCATCTCCGGGAATCCTTCGCCTGCGGGCCATCCCTCCCTCTTCGTGGCGCCGCTGCTCCTGGTCACGCCGGTCTTGGCTGCGTCCCGCATTGCCCAGTCGCGAACCCGCCTTCTCCTTCTCCTCCTCCACCTCCTCGCCAATTTCAATCCTCCGACGCTGCCCGAGCTTGGGATGTTTCTCCCGTAATTCCTCGTGTTGCCTCCGCACGTGGGTCCGTTTCTTGTCGCTGTCGCACAGCCTGCGATGAGCGCGGCCATGTGCCTCGTGGTCGTTGTGCGCTACGCGGTGCTGGTCCGTCTCCTCTCGTGCGAAAGGCGGCCCAGCCCCTTCTGAATCTGATGCTCCCGGATGACAAGAGACTCGAGAAATATTCCCTCGGTGTCCGGGATGCGGTCCCACAACTACCGAGACGTCTGGTCGAGGATGGCGTTGGACCAAGTGAAGCCCAGTGAGCACTTGCTCGTCATTCCGGGACGAGGACATCTCATTCCTTGTTGTGATTGTTGAGCAAGAGCGGGGGCTCAACTTGTCGAGCGTACTATTGGTTCGTGAACGACTGGAGAGATCATCTCGATCTGGAGGGGGAGAATGCCGAGCCTTACGTGACTCCCCAGTGTGTCTTGCCGCAGTCACAAACATCTCATCCCTGGCGTCTTCTCTACAAACCTTCGGCTGCTTCTGAGAACCCTTCGCGGTAGTGGGAAACATTGCGAATCTGGCATCATCTACGAGACGCATCAGAGCTTCCATCTCCTCAGCCAAAGGTCTCACCTCGTTGGAATCAGATCTCCTCAGGGAACAAGTCTCGCGATTCAACCTGCACCCAGTCATTGATCTCCTATAGATGGCATGTCGAACAATATCTCGGCGTGCGTCACAACCCGTCTCGGTGTGACCAGTGTGATGAGATGATTCAGGCGTTCCGCTTTCTCGTACGATCTTGGGCAGCCGGCGAAGGTTCGAAGGGGTCTTTGGCAGGAACCACAGGGCCACATGACCTCTTCTCGGCGTATAGCCAAAGAAGATGTGTGACGACGCGGTGATCCCTTCTCGCAGGGACTGAAGTATTTGCAGGGTGCCATCGATCTTCTGATAGATGACGATCCTCGTTCTTTCGTCGATCCACGCGTCCGTATATCTCCCTGCCTTCTGCCACCATACAGGCGCATGAACGTGACTGCTTCGCCGCGCTGTATCTGTTGACTTGTTCTCCCATACTCTCTTCCATTCATCACCCCATATAGTCAGCTGTTCATGAAGATCCTCGACAGCCCATTTTGCGCCGTTGGGCAACTTATTGGAGATCGCGAAGCGTCGAGGACCTGACGTGGACGCTCTTGGAAGCTGAATTTCCCCTCTCATTCTGTCGTAAGTCACCAGGTCTAGAATCCGGGAATCATGTGCATCGAGTAGCGAATGAGCTTCCATTGTGTGTTGTTGCCCGGGTTGATTACAGGCAAAGTTGTGATAGTGGCTGGATATTTGGCTGGATATTCCGTCATAGACGGGATCTGAATGGCTCTGCTCCATCTATGCTGCTGTTGGAGTTTGCATTGGCCGTGGTGTACCAGCTTCTTGAGAACTATTGCAGTTGCCACTCGATGAGACATGCTGGCATACGAAATGAGGATATATGCAGCTAGGTTCGATCAAGCGGCTGTGAAGAAATTGGGTGTCCTGAGCTAGAAATACATTTGAATCTGCCTGGGAGGCTGGTATCAAGATGGACTATCATAGGATGAGAAGACAGGGGAAAGGGTGACCAGGGATTTCCGTAGGATTTTCGAGAAAGGGCTTAACAGTCTGGAACTTTCTTGGTGTAATCAAAAAAGACAACTGTGTGCCTAACCATGTGAACTATGAAACTATAGAAAGAACGTCGAAAGGACGCGACTGAGAGAACTAAGCTACTGCATTAGGCCTTCTGTTTTCTTGATGATTGGTCTTCTTCACAACTAGGAAAAGGTCTCTTGATCAATGGAAGCGAATATTTAAGGCAGGCTATGTTCAGAACAAAGAACTTTTGTTACACCTAGTCTTGACTACTTAAAGAGGTTCGGTTACATAATCTTAAGAAGTCATTATGTTCAATACCCGACAAGCATGTAAGCATGTAATGTAGTAGTAATGGCGCTTCTTCGTTTCCAAAGTCAGCTGCACGTATTGTGATAAAGGTGGTAAGCTGAATATTTGCCTCGAGCTTGAGACGGGAAGCAAGACTCCGAAGTACCATAATTGTTTGTCGAGGTCGAGTTGAGTCGCTCGATACCTTGGTAGTAGGCAAAGTTGATATGCAAATGACTCACTTGATCAAGTTATGAAGGAAAGTCGCAGTCGTATGTAAGACTGCCTATCATAGTCTTCACTTATTACAGCAAGTTCGAATTGTGAATAGATACAGGTGTTCAAAGTCTCTTGTGTGTATTGTGTCAAAAGGCTTGGATTCTCTTGTTCGAGGCCACGGAAACAAAGGGATTATGCCAAACAACGGCTGTGTGCATTGTCGTGAATGAAGAGAGTTGCAACAAATCTCATGCTTACCCTTTGTCGATGATCTTTGATCGCGAGTAAAGACTATATTGTGACAGAGTTATATAGAAGTATCCTGAACGAGAGAGAAGTCAGAGCCGGAGAAGACAAACCAAAGCAACCAAAATCACTTATATCACAACAATTGACATAACCGAAGACTTTCCCGGAGTAGGTGGACACACTTGAGTCTCCAAAGCCAGCATCACGTTCGCCATCGAAGGCAACTTCATCCAATAGGAGTAGCAGCAATGTGCTTCGCCAAAACGATTTACACATGCCAGCACCAAGAACGAAAACGCGTAACCTGCCGCAAGACATGGCGCCATCGAGCGGGCTGGTGCTTCCGCCCAGTCCTCTCCTTCTTCTTCGGCGACGCCCCCGAAGAGCCCTGCAGCGAGCTCCGCGCCAACGACACCGTCTGGCCCAACGTCACCTGCCCAGAGTGCCGCACTGCCGAGGAGACCGGGATCGCCACCAAGGGCATGGTCACTAGTACGACCACGACGAACAAGTACCGCGAGAAGCTCACGCCAGCGGCGCTGGCGGCCTCACGGCGGCGTAAGGAGGAACAGGATAAGAAGGAGGAAAAGATGCGGACAAACTACTGGTCGATCCAGGAGGACTACCAAGAGGGGTTGAGGAAGCGGGAGATGGAAGAAGCTGCTCGACTTCAGGGCGGTGATGCTTCTCTTGTTGAGGGGAGCGAGAATTATGCTGATAGGCCTCTCCCCGCTCTTCCTACCTTTCCTGCTGCTTCGGTTGGTGACACTCGCGGGGATCCGGGATACCAGGACCCACGACTCCGTTCCAAGAATATGTTCCCTCCGCCACCGCCTCCGCCTCCTCCATCGACGCCCGGGAATAAGAAGACTACTAAGAAGAAGCGCAGGAGAATGGAACCGAGACGTCTGCCCACTGTAACCAGTACTGGTAGCCCGATCAGCAAATCATCTCGACGCTCACAAGAGCAAAAGCGACGATGCTCAGAAGACAAATGGAGACAACACCCACAAGAGAAAAAGAGACGGCGGGTGGAAGAGCAAACAAGACAGAACTCAGACGAGCTAACGAGCCAAAGTTCAGAAGAGGGCCCATATGAACGACCGACAAAGGAGAACCGCTACGGCAGAGACACGGCCTCGGGTAGACAGGCCGCCGACGAGGCTATCCGGATCATGAAGGAAGCCGATGGGCCATCACCGGCAAGGCAGTCTATCGCCGTGAGAAGAGGCAGGGAGATGAAGCAACTGGCCAACAGCTATCGAGAGGAGCGGGCCGCTCCGTGGCCCGAGGAGCCGAGTATTCAACGACGTCCCACGCCCCCGCCGTCGCCGGGGCCGGAGAAGGCGGCAAAGAAGAGTGGCAAGCGCAAGGGCGGTTGGAACCCGTTTGGTAACAAGGATCGCCGAGACGATGTGACCCATTAGGGGAGAGGCACCCGCCGCGAGGTTGTTTCTGACGCTCGTTCCGACGTTCAGTCCTTTGTGTGTTGTGACGCGCGCAAGATAGAGAGAGGGAGAGATCACCATTCTTAGGTATACCTTATGATGCAAAGAGACGAGGTAGAGGGGGAAGGATGAAGGAGATTTGGTGAGTGAATGCTTCATGTTTGTTGAACTATGTATGTGTTTTGAGGGGTTTCCTTGTTTAATTGACATGGACAAATAGAGGCTTCTTTCCCTTCCCAAAAATAAGAAGAACACGATAACCGAAAGCAAGCAACGCGCAAAAGGGGTCCGAATAGGAAACTCCTTTCCGACCATAAAGTATTGTAACTCGGCCGGCAACAGATCCAACGATTGACAATCTGTATACGCGTAAGCTCAAATTGGTATATGATGAAAGTACTCCGCCTATGAAGTGATGGCTCCTGCCCGAATGCTTCCACGCCGTGGGGCCTTAATCCTTCAATATCTCTTCTGTCCGCCCGTGGCCTCCCTGTGATGGCTTCTCAGCCTTCTTAAATTTGCTCATCTCTGTCAGTGTTAGTTAGGTAGGCGGAGTAGTAAGCACTTGGCCAGCGCTTGTAGTCTTTCCGATAGGTGTGTGAGTTTGGTTGAATTTACATCGCAAGACCGGGTAAGTATTTTGTCATCGGCTGGTCTGCAAAGACTTCATTGGGCCTTTCCGTTCTTGGCGTCGCCGTTCGCCTTGGAGGCTCTGAACTTGACAATCTCCTTCTCGACGGCCTTGTCAACGCGGCCCTTGAGCTCCTGACGGTACCCAAGCTTGAACAGGAACTCAAGCCAAACAAAGAGAGGGGCCAGGAAGACAGCCTGAACCAGGTTGTCCAACAGCGCCGGTGCGCGCCCCTCGAAGGCGCCGTGCCCGATAAACTGGAAGATCCAGCAGGCGATGTGGATGCCGATGGCGGCTTGGTTGGTCAAGGTAGGGTTCTCAACCCTGAAGTGGTTGCCAGCGGCAGTGGCGGCCAAGCAAATGACGGCCAGGAGCGTGCCGGCAACAGGTTCGAGAAGAACATACAGACCACCCCAAGTCAGGGCTGCCAGTGTCCCCAAGTTAAGATCTAGATTAGGGACGGTGAGCCAGCTAGGGAGTGGAATGAGAGTTCCTGTGTTGGTGGCCTGGGGAAGTCTGTATGAGCTCAGATGAAAAGACTCGAGTTACATCTCATTGACTGCTTACAAGGCAAAATCCGGAAAACAAGATGATGGGCACACATGCCATGTGGATGCCGATGTTGACGGTATTATGGTGGTATGCACCATACTGTGAGCTCATTAGCAACCATGCTAACGACGTACTCTGGAAAGTCGGACAGTTCACGAACAAAGGTCAGGTGTTTTTCCAAGTCTAAAGACATGATGGCGGTGAATTAAATGAGATGGTGCTGAGACCTGAGCCAAGGGCGATGTGGTGGACTGAGAGCCGAGGTTTGTTGCAGGATAGATGCACCAAGACGAGGCTGGCTGCAGGGTCGAGGCTCAGCCGCGGGCGGATCGGCAACAGCTGGAGCGTGAGCGGGCCGGACGGATTGGTTGCGATGCACTTTGGAACGGCCGTATCGATACCAAAAATTAGATTAGTCGCGGATGCACTACGGGCGACTTGGGAGAGAGTTGGTGATGTTGGCGTCGTTGCGAATGATGGAACTTGAGGGAATGCCGTCGTGTTCCGGACAGGGTTGCAATGGTGTTCATATGTGTCCCACCCAAGCACGTCGAGTTACTTTGCCTTCCGCCGAACCTTTGCGGTGCAAGTACCCGTGGGGCCGCTGGGAGCGCGTTTTTGCTCTTCGGTTCGGGGAGTTCGTAGGGATTCCACTGGATTTCCAGCAGTCCTGGAAGCGACAAGGTCCACAATGGCGGCTTCTGACTGGAAATTTGGGGGGAATGAGTCCACTAAAAATCTCTAAACGTGCATGCACCAAACATACGACTGATTCCCTCCGCCCAATCTAACGTCGTGCATTTGTCGTGTGAGCGCGTCGGAGGCTGGGGAGGCTCTTAACCGACTCTTCTGATTGAGCTTGAAGGGCATCCGGATGTCAAAACATGAAGCTGGCCAATTTTACAGTCCTCGTTGGATAAACAGACTGACTCCATGCGTGATCTGTGCCGCAAGCCCAAATTATGACGCCAGCTCCAACTCATTAGGGCTGGGCTCTCACATCCGCGGCCCAAATGGCGCCACTTGTCGCATCCTGCTGGCATCTGACAGTGCACTCTCCAGCATCGCAATCCACGAATGGGATTTGTCGCTCATTTAATCACTATTCAAGTCGCGCCTAAAGTACCTGCCTTCCAAGGTTCCCGTCCTGAACATCGCGCTTACCCCGGTTTCGGAGCGACGACCTTTCCGCCACGGGCCTTCCGCGCTAGCGCAGTGCTTTAGCGCAAGCGCGGTAGAACGAAGTGAAAGGTGTGGCTTGAGCT